GGGTTTGGCTTCAGGGTTTGGGGTTTAGGGTTTAGGGTTTAGGGTTTAAGGTTTAGGGTTTAGGGTTAGGAGTACGTGGATGTAAACAAATCAAACAAGGTGTGGGGGGGAATGTGGGTCTGTAGGTACGTAGGGCTTGCAAAGACATGATCCCATATTTCTGACAGACAAATCCTCAGCTACCATCACCTAACATCGTCAATTCCGCTTGCAACTTCGAGGGCGATGCTTGTCTGGCATGTTCAAAACCCATACTCCCTCGACCTTCCTGCGCTCCAACTGACATCCCTCCAGATCCCATACGCAGGGATAGCTGCAGCCTTGCACAAGTGGCCGTCGTTGTTTTTGTCCAACTTCGAAAGAACTCTTTGCAGCTTGTTGGTGATATGAAGCCTTGGATTGTGCGCAGGGTGTAAGATTTTAAGTTGCGGTTTTGGCTGTGGGAGGAGTAAGTTGGAAACAAACAAATGACACGCTTGCTCGCACCGAGATGCGAAAAAACTTTTTGCAAAGATGCATGAAGCCCTGAACCCTAAACCCTAAACCCTGAAGATACATAAACGAAATGGAGGCTTACATAGATATGGATAACGACAGGAGCGTTCGGGCAGGCAGACCTATAGCTTGGCCGAACGACAGGCGAATGTGCACATGTGTGTGTGTGTATATATATATATATATGTATATGCATGTATTCATGTATCTATGTACGTACGTATGGATGTATGTATGTATGTATGTATGTATGTATGTATGTATGTATGTATGTATGTGTGAGCCTAAGCCTTCGTAAGTGAGAGTGGGCACGACTGGCTGACGGATGGACGGACTGAGGGACTAACTGCCTAACTGATGAGACTGAGACTGTATGGAGCGAAACAACACCGAATCAAAAGGGGCCCTAATTTTCGGAAACTCCCAAATAGAGCGTTAAAAAACAAAGCATCGCAAGTTGCTGACTCAAATGACAGGAAGACGGAAGGAGGCTTCTATCCAGGTTGAACTGCTGACGTGCACTGATGCTGCTGGCCCGCATAGCCAACATTCCGTCGATCTTGACTAAAGTTATCTCTTCAGAGTGCCCTCTATCAACATGCTCTACGAAGCCAAGATTCCTAACCCTCAAGCCCGGTCCCTGAACTAAATCCCGTCTACCCAAGCCCGAAGCCGCAAGCTGCCCTAAACCCTAAACCCCAAACCCTAAACCCTGAAACCCTAGCCCTGAACCCTAAACCCTAAACCCGAAGCCCTAAGCCCTAAACCCCTTCACATCCGAATCAGGGTCGGGCCGGGAGCACAGAGAGCCAGGCGGCACTAAGATCTCTTCCCGCTCAACCTCAGTACTTCGCCACGGTTTAGGGTTTAGGGTTTAGGGTTTAGGGTTTAGGGTTTAGGGTTTAGCTGCGCGAACCCTCCCCAAACCCTGAACCTCAAATCACCCTGAACTTGATATCAACCTAATACCTAAGTCACCCTGAACTTGATATCAATCTAATACCTAAACCGCTTGCAAAATCCTTCTGCACCCAAATCCCTTAGCCCTTAAAGCCCAAAGCCCTTAAGCCCTTAAAGATATAAAGCCTTAAAGCCCTTAAAGCCCAAAGCCCTTAAGCCCTCAAAGAGCCTGCAACTCCGAAGCAACATGCAGCGGCTGGGCTCCAGACGGCGGCCACTGCAGAAACAACTTCACAGAGGATACCGATAAGCATGTTCAGCACCTGTAGGGTTTAGGGTTTAGGGCTTAGGGTTTAGGGTTTAGGGCTTAGGGTTTAGGGCTTAGGGTTTAGGCGTTAGGGTTGAGGGAGCACCTGTCGGCTGAAAAGGTTTGGGATTTAGGGTGTAGGGGTCTAGGGGCTTAGGGGCTTAGAGGTTCAGGGGTTTGTACCCTGAGATATATATATATAACCCTACACCCTAAACCCTAAACCCTAAACCCTAAACCCTAAACGGCCCTAAACCGTTTAGGGTTTAGGGTTTAGGGTTTAGGGTTTGAGAGAGAGAGAGACTTTAAAGGGCCTAGGGATTAGGGTTTAGGCTCAAGGCCCAGGACCTCGACTCCTACTAGGGGACTCATTGGCCTAGGGCGGGTGAGTCCGGGTCCAGTGGTGCATCCTTTAGGGCTTTAGGGCTTTAGGGGTTTAGGGTGTAGGGTTTAGGGTTTAGGGTTTGGGGTTTAGGGTTTAGGGTTTAGGGTTTAGGGTTTAGGGTTTGGGGTTGGGGTTGGGGCTTTAGGGCTTAAGGTTCAGGCTCCAGAACGACGAAGAAAGCCGGAACCGTGATCCTCAAGATGGCAGTTGATCACCAAAATCAAACCAGGCCCAGCGTCATTCCCATCACCCCCGCCACTCGCTATCATACTGCATATGGGTAGTTCTCTAAAATTAGGGTCCCTTTTGGGGTCCTTTTTATAAGGGTGCCGTACTATATTGGGGGCCTATAAAGGGACCCTAATTTAGAGAGCTACCCATATGATGAGCAATCCTGAGAGCACAGAAAACGACACATGACAGTCATAGGACTAGAAGTCGCTAAAGCAAGAACCGAAGCAGCAACAGCAGTCTTGAGGGATAAGGACCCAAGCCTTAGCAATCATGACACTGCGACTTTCACAAGCAATCACAGAAATAGAAAAAACACTCTCTAGGTCGAGAAGCCAAATTAGCTGCCTGAAGCCGTGAAAGTCGTGTCGAACATCCCAATTCCCTAGCCCCTGAGCCCGGAACCTTAGATCATCGCTCAAACCCTGAACCCAACTACCCAAAAGCCCAAACTCTAAACACCAAACCCAAATACCCCAAAGCCTAAACTCCAAACCCTGCCCGAAAGCCATTGACAAACCCTAAGGAGACCCAAACCCGAAAAAGCCCCAAACCACAAGGAGCCCAAACCCCAAGGAGCCCCAAACCCCAAGGAGCCCTGTTGTGCCCTTATAGATCCCTTAAGGGAACCCTTGAAAGAGGCCCAAACCCTAAAGAGCCCTTAAAGGAACCCTTAAAGGAGCCCTAAACCCTAAAGAGCCCTTAAAGGAACCGTTAAAGGAGGCCTAAACCCTAAGGAACCCTTAAAGGAATCCTGATAAAGGAGCCCTAAACCCTAACAAGCCCCCAACCCTAAAGCCCTAAACCCCAAGGAGCCCCAAACAGATCCCTTCAAGAAGACCCCTTACAGGAGCCCTAGATCCTAAGGAGCCTTATGTACCCTTACAGATCCCTTAAAGGAACCCTTGCAGGAACCCTTAAAGGAACCCGTAAAGGAGGCCCAAACCCTAAGGAGCCCTGAAAGGAACCCCTAAACCCTAAACCCTAAACCCTAAACCCTAAACCCTAAACCCTAAACCCTTAAAGGAACCTTTAAACCTTTAAAGGAACCCAGGGGCTAAGAAAGTGCAAAGACCCGCGGAAAAATGGTGGAAACTTCGTTGTTTCGTGGTTTTAGGGCTTAGGGCTTTAAGGGTTTATGGGACTAGGGTTTAGGGTTTAGGGCTTTAGAAATTTAGGGGTGTAGGGCTTGTGGGCTTTAGGGCTTAAGGCTTTGGAGTTTAAGGGTTCGGGTTTAGGGTTTACGGTACCATGGAGAATCTGCCGTTACAGGGTTCCTTGGAAGTTTATCAACTCTTTATATATGTCAGGTTGTAGAGAAAGCGTTTAGGGTTTGGGAGTAACTGAGTATGGGCTTCAGGTTTTTCCACTATGGGCTTAGGGCTTAGGATTTCTCAGTATGGGTTTCGGGTGCTAGAGTATATGCATAAGGTGTTCGAGCATGGGTTTATAGGATTTCAGAGTATGGGTATAGGGTGTTCGAGTATATTCTTCAGGATTTAGTGCCTGTGCCCTAAAACCTCAACCCCTAAACCCTATACCCTAAACCCTGAAACCCTATACCCTAAACCCTGAAACCCTAAATCCTAAATGCCACACTAAACCCCTATAGTCGGCCAAGGCGCCGTGCATGCAGACAGGAGGACGAAGACAAAGATCAGAGCCAAGCAGAGGGGACTCTCGGCACCCACCTCGCCGGACTAAGGATTCTGTTCGGGGGTTTGGGGTTTTAGGGTTTAGGGTTTTAGGGTTTTGGGTTTAGGGTTTAGGGTTTAGGGTTTAAAGTTGTTTTTTAGGGGTGCAGTGGGACTTTCGCTCGCCTGACTCCCTGCCCAACTTGGGCGTGCACTCAGAACTCAAAAGACACTCCACAGCTCTCAGAAAAGGTTTAGGGCTTAGGGTTTGGGGTTTAGGGTTTAGGGTTTAGGGTTTGGGGTTTAGGGTTTAGGGTTTAGGGTTTAGGGTTTGGGGGTTTAGGCTTGAAGATGTCTTCAAGGGGCTCACTAAGGGGTCTACCACAAGGCATGAGGCTTCTGAGACGGTCTGGAAGGCTTTCTATGGGCTCTTCAACGTGCGCTATACTATTACCAGGGTTCTTTAGCGGGCCCTTGCAGGGATTCTACAAAGGTGCTATAAAGGTTCTAGGCGGTTCGTCGGACCCATCTTGTCGGAAAGCTCTTTGGGAGAGTTTACGAGCGCTTGGCTTGGAGTTTCTGTGCTGAGACTGGTACCCTTAGAACTCTAAACCCTCATGCCTAAACTCTAAACCCTGAGCCCCAGACCCTTCACCCTAGAACTCTAAACCCTCAAGCCTAAACTCTGAACCCTGAGCCCCAAACCCCAAACTCTAGAACTCTGAGCCCCAAACCCTAAACCCTAGAACTCAAAACCCTTATGCCTAAACTCTAAACTTTAAACCCTGAGCCTAAACCCTAAACCCTAAACCCTAAACCCGCCTAAACCCTAAACCCTAGAACTCTGAACCGTAGCCTTGCAGGGCTCCGGGACTCGGAACAACAAGAGCAGTAGCAAATTACTGGAGTTTAGGATTTGAGGCTTAATGTTGGGGCCTTAATAATTAGAATAGGGTTTTGAGGGTTCCTTTAAAGCGTTCCTTAGAGGGTTCTATAAGGGCTACTATAAGGGTTTAGGGTGTTGGGGCCTTAATGATTAGAATAGGGCCTTGGGGTATACAATACTATAAGTATAATCAAGGAACCCCCAAAATAGTATAGGTAGTTATTTAGGCCCCTATATCAGGGTTCAGGGTTTTGGGCTCAGGGGATGACATCGATTCTGCGCCCTCGCGGCCTCGTCACAAAACTGCGACAAGTTGTCCAGGAACGTGCCATAAAGGAGCAGGGTGTACATGGAGTGCCTTGCATTCGTGCAAAGATACGGCAAAGAATCTAAGGGACCAAACCCTAAACCCTAGACAGCGGTTCAGTTCATGTCTTTATGGCGACAAAGCTTGGAGCAACCATATAGGACTGTATAGGAACGACAACGGACTGCCATTCAAAAGCCTTCAGATTAGATTATACATATATATATATATATATGTACAAGTTTATATATGCAATACATATATATAGTTCTATACACAGGCATATATATTATGTATATATTAAATGTATGTGTGTATATATATATATATGTATATATAAGTGTATATGTCTATATATACACACATATATATATATATACATGTGTACATATGTATATGTATATGTATATATATATATGTATATACATATATATGTATGTATAGTTTGCCTTTTTGGCTTCGGGCTGAGCCAAACTGTACAGCTGGGCTATTCTTGTAGATGCATCTAGAACTAGACGTGATCAGGCACATTGATAAGGCCACATGGGGCAGATTAAAAATATACTGCCACACAGTACCGCTGATGGAACACATCTGGCACTACCTGAAATAGCCTGAACTACATGGAAGGATGGCGTACATCTTCATGCTATGAATGATGCAAGATCCTGCCCATCAGCAGTCTGTCTCACGAAACGAAGCTTGCCAACCCCGGAAACATTGGCAGATCGCCTTACCGTCCATTCACTGTATGGGAGGTTACCCTAAACCCTAAACCCTAAACCCTAAACCCTAAACCCTGAAACCCTAAACCCCTGGACCCTAAACCCTAATTAAACCAAGGAGACTGAAGCGCTCAAAACCCTCCCCCGGGGTTTTAGGGTTTACGGTTTAGGGTTTAGGGTTTAGGGTCACCCGGTCATAAACAATGGGCCCAAAATTGAAGATTCTCCTAATTTCTATTCTACCAGTTCCACATCTTGCCAAATTCAATCCAGAAACCCAAGTAATAACCCCAAACCCAAACCCTTCAACCCTAAATCCCTAAACCCTACACCCAAAAGACCAAATAAATAATTTACCCTTGAAACCGAAGCTCTTGTACTCCTATGCACTCGAACCCCAAAGCCCCAACACCTCCCCAGGCACCATGAGGCCCAGATACAACACATCCGGGAAGTAGTAGTCACCCATAAACGTGCCGCTTGCCAGCTGCGTGAACGCCTGGGCTAGTTTACCTAGTATTACGCCGTTCAGGGTTCCTTTAAAGGGCTCCCGTTAAGGCTCCTTAGGGGCTCTTGTTAGGGTTCCTTTCAGGTGATCCTTTCAGGGTTCCTTTAAAGGGTTCCTAAACCCTAAACCCTAAGCCCTAAGCCCTCCTACAAAGGCTCCTTCCAAGGTCTTCTCAAGGGATTCCTTGCTCTCTGGGTTCCTCTAAGGGTTCCTTCAAAGGAGCCCCATAATGGAACCCTATCCTGCATTGCCTTAAGGACCCTTTACTATGGGAATTATGGTATATTCCTTATTACGGGTATTGCAGGATTTTTATCATCAACCGCACTATGGAGCCCTATAGTACTCCTTCCTTTCAGGGCTCGCGTTGGGGCAGATGCAGGTTTGGGGGTTAGGGTTTAGGGTAACGTGCTCTTTTGGCCGCTTCGTCAGCTGCGTCGTTGTGGAAAGCACGCCATCTCTGAAATCCCTCCGGCAAAACAGACCAGTTGCTGTATGATGTGACATGACAAAACTCCCATCGACGCCGGTTTGGAGCAAACGCCACCCTGTGGTTCGCCTGCGCCCCCAGCAGGGTGGGCAGCGCTCCTTCGTCGATGCACGTCTCGGCGTCGCATCTTGCGGAATAGTCCCAATCCACCGGGATAGTAAATGCGCTCCATCAGGTTCGCGCCTCTCTGCAGACGGAGACGACGGCTGGATGAAGGTGAATCTTGCCCGCTCTGGCTCAGGCTTAATTTAGGGGCTAGGGTTTAGGGTTTAGAGTT